ACTACTCAAACATGATTGTGAAAGGATTTTCTCAAATAAAGGACCTTTCATGGATGATAACACAAGCTGTGATTACGCATGTCCCAAAATGATAAGACAAGTTAAGATTAATGTCTTTTAAGTTGGTTTTATGCTTAGCACCGAGCGGACAAGTGGTGATTACCCATGTCCCATAACTATGTGCCACCATAGATTTGTCATAGATAAACATTAGCTAGTTGATCCACTTAAGCTAGAAGTTTATGGTTCTTACCTTGTCAAGTAAGGACATATCTTTTCGGTGTGGAATGGACACCGTATTCCATGTTATAGCTCACATAGTATATATGTCAGTTAAAGGAAAACTACAATAATGGACTAAAGTTACTTATAGAAGTATTTCAAATCTGTTTTAAAGAAGTTTATCTTGCATTGACCATGATTTCGACTTATGATTTCTAACATGTTATTTTTATCATTTGTCTTAGTCATTGCATATCATGTAAAGCCCTTGTTAGCATGATTACACAACACTTATGTATTTCTATCATACTTGCTACATTCTATGTACTGACGCATAATCTTTCATACAGTTTTTCACTAATTTAAAGTCCAACGCTCTGATTTAATTAACGTTATCAAAGACACTTCATCCAATACTAAGTGTTAACGATCGTTAAGTAGTAATATAACCCAACTAAGTGAGTTGGGGTAGAGTCCCAAAGGAGTGGTTCGTATTTGAGAATCAATAGAAAATTATGAATATCCTCAAGTCAATCGTAGGTAAAACATTTACAAATAAAAGCAGTGTTCAAATTTGGGGTGACGTAAGTGTCAAATAACAGGGGGATTTTGTTTCAACTATCAGCTACAACCGCAAATAATACGAAAATAGCAAGTATAAAGATGGGTTCTTGGGATGTGATTGGATCATGGGCTAAGGTAGACAAGTGGTGATTGCAATTAATAGTTAATAGTTGTAAATCAGTAAATAAGCTAGACTTTAGTGGGAATAAGCTTTCTCTCAAACAATTTACACCGAATCAAATTGGTTTCTCTCGAACACCAATAAGCAACAATTAAGAACAGCCTTCGCTTTAGTTCATTCACTCTCTCGAGGAGAATGTGTGGAAAAGGGTTTAGGGTTCACTATCTCGAGCTGAACCCATGACAACCCAATACCCACAGACCATCAAATCAGTAATCTTGGTGTTAAAACCTCTCTCTCGAGCAAGCCAAAAACATGAAAGTATAGTTGCATTTGCAACTACAACCCTTTAAATTAAGCCACAATTAATGAATGAAATCACTTTTAAATAGCATTTACACTATCAATTAGCAATACCCAACAGCTAAATCAACCCATAATCACATAATCACACCCCAAGAATTGGGGTTTTAGCTAGACATCATAAAAAGGTAGAAATCATTACCAAATGGTGTTTCCATCAACTGGGTAGGATTAATATTGTCTTTACAAAGGTCTAAGATGTAGTATCTTCAACACCCACTTCCAATTTCTTAGAAATGGAAATCTTCAAATTTTCAAAGCTAAGGAAATATTGTCTCTAAACTCAGTTCTATGCTCTCAAACTTGAAAACATACAATAATGAAAACTATTGAATGATAGATATTCGACTAAGAATTTTAAAAAATGTATTTGTAGTCGCAAAAATGTGTTGCGAAGGTCCATTCGGGGCAATAAGTCGGGATTGTCGATCGACTCAGTGATCCTCCCTTTGGTCAATTCCATCGACATTTTGTTTTGGCCTTCAACATCTTCAAGTTTTGTAACTTTGGGCTACATGGAACTACATCGCGAAACTCTTCGGCGACTCGCCGACTTGATTTTCTCCTTTAGGGCTTGGCACACTAGAACATTAGGCGAGACCATGGCCGTTTGGCGACTCACCCAATGGGTTAGGCGATTCTCAAGCCATCGTTTCTTCGTTCTTTCAGCTGCCTTGTTCCTTTTTGCTCAATAGTGTCCATGCTTTGTTCCTTAATCCAAATACCTGAAATTCAAGGATTTATATTAATTATTGGCACAAAATATGCATTTGAGGACCCTAAATCTATTAAAATAAATCCCATAAATGAGTCCAAATCGTGGACTCATCAACATCGCTAAATGTTCATGCGAATGACTGTTGCTAACAACATTAAGGGTACTATTCCACAAACAGAAAGTGCCAGGGAATACCTGAAGTTTGTGGAAGAACGTTTTCGTTCTGCTGATAAGTCTCTCGCTGGTACACTAACGACTGAACTCACGACCATGAAGTTTGATGGGTCGCACAGTATGCAAAATCATATCATCGAGATGACTAAGATTGCAACAAGACTTTCGAACTTGGGGATGAAAGTGGATGACACCTTCTTGGTTCAGTTTATTCTGAACTCATTGCCTCTTGAGTATGGACCATTCCAAATAACTATAACACTATTAAGGATAAGTGGGATGTTAGTGAACTGTCCAGTATTCTTACTCAAGAGGAGTCAAGATTTAAGAAATAAGGAGGTCATTTCATTAACCTCATGGGTCAAGGAGCTGGTAAAGGACTTAAAGTAAAGGTGCTGAACTCACGACCATGAAGTTTGATGGGTCGCACAGTATGCAAAATCATATCATCGAGATGACTAAGATTGCAACAAGACTTTCGAACTTGGGGATGAAAGTGGATGACACCTTCTTGGTTCAGTTTATTCTGAACTCATTGCCTCTTGAGTATGGACCATTCCAAATAACTATAACACTATTAAGGATAAGTGGGATGTTAGTGAACTGTCCAGTATTCTTACTCAAGAGGAGTCAAGATTTAAGAAATAAGGAGGTCATTTCATTAACCTCATGGGTCAAGGAGCTGGTAAAGGACTTAAAGTAAAGGTGTTTATGTTTGTTTTAAAAATTGGTGGTAGTCCGGAAGAGACCCGAGACCCACCCTTTATGCAGTTTTACTTGTTCAAACTTTAAATTCCCCCATATCTTTTTAAGAAGGCTAATGGCCCTTGGCCATGGAAAAAGTTTGTGCCTTTTTAAGTTTAAATGAAAAGCCTCTTTTATCGAAAATTTGTTTATTTACTTATTTATTTATATTTTTCTTATCTAACTTTGTTTGTTTATGATTTCAGTACTAATAATTTAAAATCTGCCAACATATCGTGTCATATCACAAGCTTAATGAACAAATTGAGGTAGATGATGACGAATGTGAGGACTATGATGAGGATATTGAGACACCCGAGCATGTCGCTAAAGAGTTTAGACAATTTCAGAACCAGCACAAGCCAAATCTGAAGGAAACCGAAATAATGAATCTAGGAGATGAGGAGTGTGTCAAAGAAGTGAGAATCAGTGTCCATCTGACTGAAGCTCAAAGAAGGGACCTGGTTCATTTTCTTAGAGAATACATCGACGTATTTGCCTGGTCTTATAAGCATATACCAGGGCTAAGTACAAACATGGTTTCTCATAAACTGTCGATCAATCCAGATTTCACTCCAGCAAAGCAGAAAACTCAGAAATTCAAGCTAGAGTTGAGTTTAAAGATCAAAGAGGAGATTACCAAGAAGATTTAGTCTAAAGTAGTAGAAGTGACGCAATATCCAACTTGGTTAGTCAACATTGTTCTAGTGACCAAGAAAGACGGAAAGATCAACTTGGTTAATATATGTCGATTATAGAGATCTCAACAAAGCTAGCTCGAAAGATAATTTTCCATTGTGAAACATACACATTCTCATTGATAACTATGCTAAACATAAGATGCAGTCATTTGTGGATTGTTATGCGGGTTATCATCAGATCCTGATTGATGAATAGGATGTAGAAAAGACAACATTCATTACGCCTTGGGGTGTATATCATTATCGGGTGATGCCTTTTGGTCTCAAGAATGATGGTGCTACTTATATGAGGGCTATGATGACAATCTTTCATGATATGATTCACAAGGAGATCAAGGTGTATGTAGATGATGTCATAATCAAATTCCGCGAGAGTTCGGATCATTTGACCCACTTGAGGAAATTCTTTGATCGCTTACATCGGTACAATTTGAAGCTAAATCCCACTAAATGTGCTTTTGGGGTGCCAACTGGCAAGTTGTTGGGATTTATAGTAAGTAGAAGGGGCATTGATCTTGACCCCTCTAAGATCAAGGTGATTCAAGAGTTACCTCCTCCGAAGACCAAGAAAGAGGTGATGAGTTTCTTGGGAGGGTTGAACTAGATTAACTGGTTCATAGCTCAATCCATTGTGGTATGTGAGCCCATATTTAAGTGGTTGATAAAATATGCCCTGACCAAATGGACTGGAAAATGTCAAACTGCCTTTGATGCCATCAAGAATTATTTGTCCAATCCACCGGTGTTGGTTCCTACACAAGAGGGAAGTCCATTATTGCTATATTTGTCTGTCTCGGATAACGCATTTGGATACGTGCTTGGTCAACATGATGAAACAAGGAAGAAGGAGAGAGTCATCTACTACTCGAGCAAAAAATTCACTCCATATGAGGCCCGTTACACTCTTTTGGAGAGGACATGTTGTGCTTTGACTTGGATCGCTCAGAAGTTGAGACATTATTTGTCTTTGTATACCACATATCTTATTTCCAAAATGGACCCATTGAAGTATATTTTTCAGAAAGTGATGTCGACCGGGAATTTGGCTAAATGGCAAATGCTTTTGAGTGAGTTTGATATTATGTATGTGACTCAAAAGGCGATAAAAGCACAAGACTTGGCTGATCATCTCGCAGAGAATCCTGTTGATGAAGACTATGAACCGCTCAAAACTTACTTTCCCGATGAAGAAATGGCATTTGTGGGAGAAGACATTTTTGAAACATACCCTGATTGGAGAGTATTATTCTATGGAGCGGCGAATCACCAAGCGAAAGGTATCGGAGCGTTCTTAGTGTTAGAATCCGGTCAACACTATCCTATGGCGGCTAAACTCTGATTTGACTACACAAACAACACGACTGAATATGAAGCTTGCATCCTCGGTTTAAAGATGGCAATTGATATGAACGTTGATGAGTTGCTGGTAATTGGAGATTCAGATATGCTAATCACCAAGTTCAAGGAGAGAGGGTCGTAAAGACCCCAAAGATCACACCGTATGTGCAGTATTTATAGAAGTTGTGCAAAGGATTCCGCAAGATTGAACTCGTACACACTCCCAGGATGAGTTGGCCGATGCTCTTGCCACCATTGCCTCAATGATCAAACATCCAGATACAATTTATGTTGATCCCTTGGATATAGAGGTAAAAGAACAGCTTGTTCATTGTTCTCATGTTGAAGCGGAACCAGATGGGTTGCCTTGGTATTTTGACATAAAGAATTATTTGGAGACCGGGACTTATCCTGAGAATGCAACGTTCAACCAGAAGAAGTTGATACACCGTATGGCCAATAATTTCTTTCCAAGCGGGGGAATCCTTTATACGAGGACTCCAGATTTAGGCCTTCTCATATGCGTTGATGCTATTGAGGTTGCAAAACTTCTTGAACAGATACATGTTGGAGTTTGTGGTACTCACATGAATGAGCTCACTTTGGCAAGAAAGATCCTCCGAGACGGTTACTTTTGGATGACTATGGAGCATGATTGTTGCAAGTTTGTACAAAAATGTCATAAATGTCAAGTACATGTAGATTTGATTCGAGTATCGCCTCACGAACTCAATGATATGAGTCCGCCTTGGCCTTTCGTAGCCTGGGGCATGGATGTCATTGGTCCAATAGAGTCAGTTGCCTCTAACGCACACAGATTCATTTTGGTTCCCATTGACTACTTTGCCAAGTATGTTGAAGCAACTTCGTATAAGTTGGTGACCAAGAAAGTTGTAGTTGATTTCGTCCGTAGCAATTTGATATGTAGATTTGGAGTACCAAATTCCATCATTATTGATAATGGAGTGAATCTCAACAGACATTTGATGATAGAGATATGTGAACAATTCAAGATTACTCACCGAAACTCAACCGCTTATCGTCCCCAAATGAATGGAGCTGTAGAAGCCGCCAACAAGAACATCAAGAAGATTCTGAGGAAAATGATTGACAATCACAGAGGTTGGCACGATATGTTGCCATATGATTTTTTGGGTTACATAATGACTGTTAGAACATCAATTGGAGCAACTCCATACTTGTTGGTATACGGAACAGAAGCAGTTATACCTGCCGAAGTTGAAATACCATCATTAAGGATCATCCAGGAAGCTGAATTGAGTGATGCTGATTGGGTTCGCAAGCGGATTGATCAGTTAACATTGATTGATGAGAAGAGAATGGTTGATGTGTGTCATGGTCAATTGTATCGAGAGAGAATGATTCGTTCTTTCCACAAAAGAGTAAGAGCCAGGATGTTCGAAATTGGCCAGTTGGTTCTCAAACATATTTTCCCTCATCAGGATGAGTACAAAGGAAAATTTGCACCAAATTGGCAAGGACCCTACATGGTTCGCAAAGTGTTATTTGGAGGTGCCATGGTACTGTCAGAGATGGACGACATCGAATGGCGTAAACCGATCAACTCAAATGTTGTCGAGAGATATTATGTGTGAAGCTTTAGTTTGTTTTTCTATCATTTCCTTGTAATCGTTCTATTTGCTTGTAATCGTTTTGTTTAGAATGTTATCCCCTTGCAATGAACTACTTCTGACCTGAATTCTCAAGAATAAGATACGTAGAGGGGTCTATGTCATCCTCGGTCACCCCCTTATCCCTTTTAATATTTCCTTGTATTTGAACTACGTTCGACCTGAATTCTCAAGAATGAGATACGTAGGCGGCCTATGTCGGCCTTGGTCATTTCCTTAGTGAAATTTCTTATTTCTGTTGGTCCTCAAGAGGGGAACTACGTTTGACCTGATTCCTGCCTCAACGGGATACATAAACGCCACAACGGCTCATTCATATCTCCTATAAGATTTCTATATTTCTTTACGATAGAAATTGGGACAGAATTTTTGAGAGAGACACAAAAATTCTCAAGAAGAAGAGCTCTCCAACAAGTCAAAACTACAGTGATATCAAGAATTGCAACTGGGACAGAATTTTTGAGAAGAACTCAAAAAATCCTTGATTTGTTCATTAACAGTTCAAGATACGCCAAGACAGTTAACTGGGAAAGAAATTTTTGATGATGACCTCAAAAATTTCAATAGGGTTCATCGGATATTTAGAACAACTTTGAATACCTTCAGCATGATCAGAAGTTCGAAAGCAGCTTCAAATGATCCCCAAGTCCATTACGAGATCAGAAGTTAACTTTAGCAATCTTCGACATCTCAAGAGTCATATCACCCGAGCTTCAGGAATATTAAGATTTTTCCAACAAGTTACCGGCTAGACCTCGAAGCATCAACTTCAAAGACATTCGCTAAGCTTGACGTGACATGACACTTGGAAGTGTCCTTTTCCAAATGTTACTTTTTGAAAACCTATTTTCCTTAAGCTTTTATTTCATGTTTCAATTATTTTTGCATAAAAATGTTTTGTTTTATCTATCAAGAAGCGGGAGATCAGAGAAATCACCGGAGATAGCAAGACAAGGAGCAGACAACCGAAGAGATCGACACAGATCAGTTCATTTTCAAACTAACAATTTTTCTGTAGATGCAGAAAAAGTTTTGTGCTTTTTATGCCAAAGAATTAGGAATATGAATAGCATTATTTCACTCAAATTCTCAGCAAAATGAGGTCCATAACGAACATACAACTATGTTCAGAGATGGAACTAATGAAAACCTTGACGAAAGCAATATCATTGTTTTCCAGCAACTAAAAATACCTGGAGGACGTTTATCTACCTCATATTATCAGACATGATAATATCCACACCCTGAGGGTTATTTACATTATATTGTCGAATGAGACGATACCGCTACCCAAAAGGTCACCTACATTGCTCGGTGAAACATTATCTTCATTCGGTATCGGGAAGGCATCATCTTTATCTTCGTGCATCGCGGAGAAGTCATTATTTTCTGCAGTTCTCAAGGGAACATTATCTTCATGCATCGCGAAAAAAGATTCATGCATCGCTGGAAGAGTCATGCATCGGGGGGAAAAAATCGTGCATCGTGGGCAGAATCATGCATCGCGGCAAAGAGTCATGCATCACGGGAAGAATCATGCATCGCGGGAAAGAGTCTTGCACCACGGAAGAAGCATGCATCGCGGAATGGGTCATGCATCGTGAGAAAACTGACAGCAGCTGCATTTTTAAAGGAAGCATTATCTTCATGCATTGCGAAGAAAACTATCAACATAATACGCCAGTCAATTTTATTACTTTGATATCAAAAGGAGAGTATATTGAAGAATTATATTGCAAATATGAGGTACAAGCTTTATTTTCTTTACGTCAAACTGGAGGAAGCTGACGTCAAATGTTCAAGGAGAGCAATTAAGTGTCAACACCGTAAAAGACGTTATATCACATTTGAATTACATTTTATGCTAATGAGTTTTATCTCAGTCTTTGTCAAGAGCATCCAAAAGGATGAATTCTCAAAACAAACCACAGGTGCGAACGACATAAAAAAGGATGCAGCACAACGTGGAACTTTTCTAAGCAGCGAACTGGGACATAGTCCGAAGAGAAGTATCAAACTCTTAGGACACGAGTTGAGGAGCGACTTCCACTACAATCAAACCACACCCCTATCAGAAGGCATGTGGATCTTTCTTTAGGTTTACCGGTTTCAGTTTCGCATCCGAAATTTTTTGATTTTCACCGGAAGCAACTTTCCAATCTGAGTGACAATGCGCCAAGAGCTTTGGAAATTATGTCTGTGTAAGTTCTTTATTATGGGTGTGAAGCGCGCTACATTCATGGCTAAGAGGTTACAAGCCTCTTTCTTATACTCGACTTACTTTGTGGCTTTTCCTGAACCGAAAGTTATCTTAAGATAAGAGGTTTTCTTTTCAATCGATTGAGTCAAACTACAAACAGCCCGATTCCCTAAGTTGAGGGATATATAGGCGAGATCGATGTTGAAAACTCGATTGTATTCCAACATTGGCTCTTAGATCTTATCCCCGAGCATTCCGGTGCCTTCATAATTTGATATCGGGATGGCTTTTGAATTCTTTCAAAATCGTGCGTCAAATCAAGTGTATCGAACTACAAGTGGCCTGAATTCTCATATAGTCTAAGATATGTAAGAAATTTATTTTCGGGGTTCGGCCATAATTTTTAAAGTCCGTACCAAAAACCCTTTTCTCAAGGTGAAGATGTGATCAGACAAAATTTGGATTCGTCAATTTCATTTTTCTCGAATTTCTTTCATTAATCTAAGTCAAACGAGGGACAGTTGTTGACACCCAATTTTGACCTTACACGATATGGATTAGCTTTTGAGCTTCTTAATTTTCAAACGGTTTAGAACAATTAGCTTTATAAAACTCAAATATTTTTCAAGGTTATTTTAAGTAATTTCAGTCAATTTTTATAGTTTTTAAGCAATAAATATATTTCATATAATTATATGTATAATTAGTATGTTTTTGTATTAAAAAAAAATTAAAATCATCTTAAAAGATTTCACATTTTAAGTTAAATATTTTACTAATTTATTTTAGTTTAAATTATAATTATATTTTGAGTTAATTAGTGCGTAGTTAATTTAACTATCTTATAATTAATATAATTATTTTATTTCGTTAAGATTAAGAAGTTCATTATTAAATTTATATAAATTCGTCTTCGTTAGCTTTTGACGGAATTCGCCAATTAAATGAATTTAGCTAAAATTTCAACTTATGTTGGTTACAATAGCTATTGTGTGTTTGCAAATTAGGCACTTCCTCCTATCTTAGGTTCCAATTCTTTAAGACCCATTTTTTCAGCCCAATTTCGAGTCCATTTCTTTCAATGCACCGCTTCATCTCAACAAAAGAAAACCCAGAAAGAGCAGCGACAAACGACCACTAATTTCAGCAGCAGCCCACCAATTTTCCAGCCGACCCAACTCCAATCCGGCCCAAACATAGTTCCCTCAGCATAACAGCGATCAAACGACTGCAGCAGCTTCAAACGGTAGCAGAAACGTACACAGCGATTCAAGATATTCTTGAACCAACAGCAAAGCATACAGAGTGAGCGACGTCGTCAATCCCAAATCCTATTCATACTGAATTTGTTGAGCTTTTCTGAAAATTTGGAGTTTTTGAATTCGAATGAGGCCCCGTTCTTATCCGAAAATTCTCAAAGTTTTTTCCGTGCCCTAATTTTGCCTATAAATAACCCCCTCTTCTTTTTCTTCATTGTTAAGGGTTGGAAAAAAAATTGGCAACAACTTAACCTGTTCTGTAACAGTCATATAAGAAATATATACTTTATTTCCTTGTTCCTAGGTCGCAAGAACTCTCCAAGATCTTCTATGAAATATATACTTTATTTCCTTGTTCCTAGGTCGCAAGAACTCTCCAAACTCTCCAATCATAGTATATGTAATTCTTCGGCTGTAACCTATCTACACGTCTAAAATTGGCTTGATAAATATCTATGATTTTGTGCCTAATATGACTTCTTTTCATGTTAGTTTGCCCTATTCCGTTTTCTTGTTCTATGTCAAGTCTATTGTTGTATGTCTCTGTTTTACATCTTCAAATCATGATAAGACCTGATTTCTTAATGATCTAGTTTTGAGTTGCTGATATTTGGCTATTTCTTTCTCTCCCATTCTGATTGTATTATTATTTTACTGCTTGTCATGCCGTGTTGTTAAGTTTATGCCTCCCTTTCGTTTAGATTTACTCAAAAATGCTTACATTTGCCAGTCGAGTTGGTCTAAAATCTGAGTTTTTTCTTGTTTTGTTTTTCTAAATCTTAGTTTTGTTGAAGTTTTTTCTTTAAGATCATTTGAAGCGTGATGTCTTTGGTGTTAGTCTCTCATGGTATGGCTTGCTGAATATTTAGTCCCCCTATGTTAATTCCATGTGATTTTGATGTATTATATTTGTGGCTTCTGCTTTGAAACAAATAAGGTCCATTTATGATCAATCGCTTTCTAGTAATGTCTAAAATTGAGATTTCGTAAACCATTGTGTGAGATTGTTTTGTTGTTAAATTTTATTATCCCTTCTATTTGGATGAGGATTTTGTGTAAGTTGTTTACTGCCTAGCTATAGGTTGATTAAGTATTTGATTAATGGTAATAACAAATAGCTTCAGTGGTTATTATTAAGGCCACCTCTCCTATGAGCTGATTATTGGTTGTTTACTATATTGGTTTGAATATTTAATACATTTTTATCATATTTCAAGCATCCTAGATTATGGGGTGTTATCTGATATGCCTTGTTGATATTGGTCTGATATTGCCTTTTTTGTATGAATAGATATGAGGTGTCTTTCCAAGTATGATAGGCAGTGATGCTACTTTGTTAATTAATTTTGATAAAATGTGGTTTCTTATTGTTATGTGGATGCTTCTTCTTTTCTTAATTCGTGTTTCTTTGAAATTTGTATATTGGCAGTAGCTTCTGAATCATCTAGCTTGCCTCCTCTTAAATTAAGATCATGTCTTAATTATTTCCTTATTTCGTATGCTAATGTCGTCTCCTCTTTCATGTGTTGTATGAACTCCTTCTGAGTCCAGGACTTCTTTTCTTTGCATTTCCGAATGGGCCATGACGGCCCCAAATCCTCTTTTCCTCGAGTCAGCCATCATGGAAAATTGCGAATTAAGCTCCATAGCTATAAAATTTGAAATCTACACGTTTATACAAACTTTAAAAAGTTATACACAAAAAGATTGAATGTATATGGTGATAAAACTGAAAAATCAAAGGAAATGATCTTCAAATACAAATAACGAACAATTGTTAGTTGCGAATTATACAAATGTGGCGAATTATACAAACGTGACTAATTATACAAAGTCCAAGTCAGTGCACGTAATTAATGATTAATGTTAGTTGCGAATAGTAATTATAGCAAACTATAGCTGTGATAACTAATTAAGTAGTCTAAGTTTGCTTAACCGCGTAATTTTTCGTATAAAAAATAGGGATAATTTTTAAAAAATCCGAAATACTAAAATTTGGCTCAAATACTAGTATTTTCTAGTATCGAGAAACTTGGATGTTTGTCAAAATAAATTTTCTAAATAATAACAAGTTATTTAGCCATGGATTATTTCTGAAGTATATAGCCAAGTATGTTTAAAAATTTTGTGGCCAAATTTCCGAAGTATATAACCAAGTATGTTTAAAAATTTTGTGGCCAAAGGATAATAAATATAGAAAATCAAAAATCCAACTTTCAATTTCGCTAAACTATGCCCAATAATCAAATCCAATTAAAAGTCAACTCCATCGTATTTTAGTCTTTTTTATGGAAAAATTATTGAATTACAAAAATATTCTTATCATAAATATAAATTCACTTTATAATTTAAAATAACTATATATTATTGTACTAATTAATAAATTCATATTAAATTTCAATTTAGATAAACCACCACTTTTTTAAAAATCCAGATAATAGGAATACATTACCTAATTTGATAAGGATGGTAATTTTGAGCCTTTATTGTTTTTCCAAACAATTCTATGTTTTCTATTTTGAGTCAAATTAGTATTTGTAAGTAGGGTGGGTATTAAATAGGATGTTGTAATTTGGTTTAGAGAATTCTCTTCAGTCTTCACAATGGGGAATCATATATCAGAGTTGGTGAAGAAACTCAGGGGAACTGCTAATAGTTTGACGTTCGATAAATCAGGTTTGTTTTACCACTAAACAATTCTTAATACTTTTTAATTTTTTTGGCTACTAATTATGTCTGTTGCTTCACTATTGTAGTGATTAACCTCTTCATCATGGGAGATCAAATATCTAGAGGAGAAGAATTGGTGAAGAAAGCTGAGAAGAAACTCAATGGTTGGGGATTTTTCGGGTCCAAATACTATGACGCTGCATATTTACTCCATAAAGCTGTTGATTGCTTCGAACTCACTAAATCATGTTTGTTTTACCATTACTAATTGATAAATCAACTTCACTATTTTAATTTTAAGTCGAAATACCTCCATTTGTTTGTTTGATAGTGGAATATAATGTAGCAAGGTCTAAGATGATCCTTAATTAGTTTTAGAGAATTCCTAATTTGTCTTCTGAATAGTGGAATTGAATGCTTTGGGGTTAAATTAGGTTCTGGTATCATGTTTTTACTTCCGGGCGTACATGCTCTAGTTGGGTGTGTTAGAGTGAGTCAAAGTTCCACACTGGTTGGGAATGGACGGGTGGTTTGTGTATATGGACTTTTGTAATTTTCTCTAATTGAGCTAGCTTTTAAAGTTTAATTAGCGTCAGGTGCCAACAGATTTTAATGGGCAAATTGGATATAGAGGATCATATAGGCAACCCAACTAGGGCGTGAGCATGCTATTGTTGTTCTTGTAGGATCTAAAAAGATGACTTACTATTTTATAAAGTATTAGATGCTCATTAATCTTACAATGTTTGTCTTTCAGGGGATCGAGTTGGAGCAGTATATGTGAAATTAGCAAGTTGTCATCTGAAGGTATGTTTTTTTTATCCTCTTCGTTATAACTCTTGTACAAAAACTTAAATTCTTCAAACTATTTTCTCTTATCTTATCAGTTGGATCACAAACATGAGGCTGCTCGTGCTTACGATATTACTGCTGATTACTACAAGATGACGAAAAATTTGAAAGGTTGTGTGTTGCCTTATTGTGCTATAGTACACATCTTGTCAGTTGCAGGAACATTTTATGGATATATGTCTATTTCTTGCAGAGGCAATATCATGTCTAGAGAAAGCAACACATTTATTTCTGGACATTAAAAGGCTAAACGCGACCAGAGGATATTACCAGGTACAACTATATTGTCGATGAGAATCCAGATGTGCTCTTTTTGTTGTTTTCAATAGACGACTGCTAAATTATATGAACACGAGAACAATTTAGAGTTGGTTATCGTTTACTATCAGAAAACAACTAAAAAATTTTAGAGTATGCATTTAACATCATCTGCAAATTAGTGCAGGCAGAAAATTGCAGAATACTCAGCTAAAGTAGGAAAGTAAGATTCTTCGACTTGAAGTAGTACGTAATACAGTTTTGTATTCTTGAACATAGAAAGAATAACTGATCAAGTTTCGCATTCTATATTTGTCACAAAGATATCAAAGATCAATCACGATGTTTGAGGAGATAGCAACATATTCCATCAGAAACAACTTGTTGAAGTATGAAGTTAGAGGGCATCTTCTGAATGCTGGTATTTGCCAACTTTGTAGAGGTGATGTTGTTGCAATTAACAACACCTTAGAGTGATATCAGGTAGAGTATATTTTCCTATCAAGACTCTTAAGATTTCAACAGGACATATGTTTCATGCATCCTAATTTGCAGATACTGCATACAACATTTTTAGGGACGCGCGAGTGCAAGTTTCCTATGGTATGTCATATAGCTTGTATTAACTCTAGGATCATTATGTATTCCAAATATGATTATGGAGAATATTTTTGCAATGATAGGGTTTGGCAGCTGCTATTGACAAGAGAGACGTTGCAGAGTTTACTAGTTGTCTCAAGGAATATGATAGCATCATAAAACTGGTAAATTTAAATTTGTACTTCCTTGGCTCAATCAGCCTTAGCACTTTTTATGATGCTTATTTCATCTCATATAACAGGATGAATGGAGGACATTGGTTCTTCTCAAAGTGAAGGAAGCGCTGAAGGTGAAGGCACTAGAGTCAAAGGGACAGTTAGGACGGTTATTTTATATTGTACCATGTTCACTTATTTTATTTTGTATGAAAAAAATTAGACTTTTCTAAACAAAAAAACCATTGACACCTCTAGCTAACTAGTAGGATTGAGGAATATGATCTTACTTTAATTCTTCTTCTAGTATTATTTTCTTATCACCCTCTACTGAAGTGTTACATTTCGGCCCTCCACTTTTCTTTTCAGCGCAAGTTATTGTTATTATGAACTCAAAAAAACGAACAAAAAAATAGATTGAAAATACTTGTTCAAAAGAAAAAAAGATGTGGGTGACATTATGACTGGCGTTCTGTACTGATTGAGTTTGACTTCCAAATTGAGTTCGACATAGTGGTGGAGCCAGTATTAGTAAAGGTGGTGTGCAACATTCACTATATATACATAATACATAATGTTTACCATGTATATATACAATGTAACTTTCGGATGAATCCCCTAGACTCTTAGTAGCTCAAGCTGCGCCCCAGGTAGAGTCCTATTACGAATAAGTATAATTTTAAAGTCCTAAATATTAGAAGAAGAATTAAATGAGAAAATTCAATAATCAACATTTCTAAGACCTTCATTTTATATAACTCAAAAGTATAACGATAAGAGTATATATAACTCAAAAGTATAACAGAAGATATACACATCATATTTGGAAGTATGTTTAGCCTTTTTTGGGATATAATATTATTGTTATATATCATGCATTTAAGGGTAATAAAGATCCATTTTATTCAAACTATCGTACAAACACATTGCAGCTTTTACATGGACTACAAAATTTACAAAAAGGAGAATACATTTAAAAGGGAACATTATAAAGGGTCTAAAATACCCTTGACTATGACTTTTGGTACAATAATACCCTTCGGTAACCTTTCAGCCCAAAAATGTCCTCGATGTCAATATTTTAGCTCTAAATTACCCTTATTTTTAACGGTCTTGACTAAAAATAAAATTACAAAATTCATTTATTACGTGGCATAATAATATCGGTTTATTTAAAATAAACTAAACAATTAAATTACCAATCCACAACCCATACCCGCTCCAATTAAAATCCCCATTAAAAAAGGAAGAAGAAGGAAAAGAATATTCACTCTTCCACTTATGCAGAACGCATTACATAAAAAACAAAAACTCTAATTTATTCAAATTATATCACATAACTTTTACGTTGGTGTATTGATTACGTATCTAGTTAATAGACAATTTTTTTATTTTTCATAATTCAAAACTTGTAGTCTCTGGTTTACCACTTTCTTCTTCTCTCCTTCTTCAACAAAAGCTAAATGATTGAAATTGTTATTAAGTAATTAGATTATTCTCAGAGCATTCGTTAATGGCAGATATCCTTCTGAGGTTTCGTCATTCAATTCCCAAATGAATTCATTAGAAAAAAACTATGTAATTATATTGATAACTTTGGTGATTTTGGGTTTCTTCATCCACACAATTTTGACGAAGAAACTGGTGAAATTTTTGTTCACTTTGCTTCATATGATCTTCTTCTCAACGTTGTACTCGAATTTATTGTTACTGTATTTTCTCCATAGAAATCAATTGCTTTGAGGTCAGATTTAAGAGTAAATTTAACTTTGGAGAAGAAATGTATCCTTAATTATTTCTACTTCATCGGCTAAAACGATGAGTAGCCCACGAGTTTAATGGAGGATTTTAGGTGGGGTGGGTATGGGTTATTAAGTGGATTTGGGTTGTGGGTTAGAAATTTAATTAATTGGTTTATTTTAAAATCAACTATAGTAGTATGCCATGTCATAAATGAATTTTGTAATTATAATTTCAAATAGAACCGTTAAAAATAAGGGTAATTTAGAGCTAAAAGGTTGACGTCAAGGGCATTTTTAGCCTGAAAGGTTAACGAAGGATATTATTTTACCAAAAGTCATAGTTCAAGGGTATTTTAGGCCCTTTTCCGTAAATAAAATTATAAGATGTGAAAGGTTATTTATTTAATTTAATTTATCAGCGATAACTGCGATAATTCGGAGTATACATGCAACTCTCAGCATACTTCACCAAATCTGCAAGGTGAGGCAAACGTGTTGCAACGCCTGCACGTATATTACACAATCACATCACTTAAAAGGTAATTCTAAATAACTCTATATAATGGACATTTATTTATACCGATGGTGTATATCTTTTAGCATTATCAGTATGTATAACTTAAATCCAATTAAGACGTATGACGAAAAAGGAAGAAATGGGCTCACCGAGTTCATACGCTTTAGCAGCAACTTGCATGGCCAACACTTCCGCTCTTTCGTGTAAACAAAAATTAGTGAGGGGAGGATGTGACACGTTGGGCGGTTGGGGAGGGGATTGACTCGTCCAAATTTGACCCAACTCACCCATTTACTAGCTCTGATGGTCAAGATATGAGATTTCGATTTAAGGTTTGTAATTCAAATACTCCCTCTATTTCAATTTGGTTGTCTGGATTTGACTTGAGACGGAGTTTAAGAAAGTAAATGCAACTTTTGACTATGTGATACATGAACCTGCCATGTGGGAAGTTGAAAATGAAAGAGTTATCATTTATCAAAAGAGATAAGAGACATTCTTTTTAAAACAAACTAATAGGAAAGTAAGACAAACAAATTGAAACGAAAGAGTACTTACAAGCTGCTACAAGCATGCCGTTGTGCACACAGATAGCGCCAACCATGACCAAGCCGAAACCAAATCCCGGGAATATGTATTGCACGAAAGAGCGTAACTTAACCATAATCGAGTTGATTGTGGTGGTACTTTACAAAAGAATTTAAGCATATATATGCATTAACAAACCTGGCTAGGATTGTGCAGTTTGTTGTTGTACTCTACAGAAGGGAATGGGACTTCAACTTGCGAAGACAACTCGACTCTCTTCATAAAGAAAGCAATAAGAAACAAGATCAACGTCGTGGGCATTTAGTACAAGATTTAACCAAACACAAATTAAAACTTGACGGATTCAACGTTTAAGATCCTTATAAGCATTGAACTCATTGTACTTTTGAAATGATGGTTTCAAAATTTTAGTGATTTTTCACATATACCTCTGTTATCATAAATATTAGCTACTTACCTCACTCCAAGTGTAAGCTTCTTCAGTAGTGCATTCGGATTGTGCAGTCGGGTTTGAGAAAGCCATGATGAGAGGTCTCTGCAAATCATATTTAAGTCAGTTAGCTCAAAGAAATTAAATTTCAATCGGGGAGAGGGGAAATGGAAAATCGCGGAAATGAAGCACCTTGTTTATGGAGGCCATAGCCTCAATCACTTTCTTAGTAAATGTTCTTCCAACTCCAGACGTTCCGATTATGGCAGCTGGATTAATGGCCTAAATTAAATTTGGAAGTGTTAATGCATACAAAAGGATTTTAAAAGTGGCAATCCTCGATTAGGGAGCTTATCGATCAAACCTTAACAGTGTCGAGGAGATTGTTGACAGGTTCGTGTTCATGTGCCCAAGGTTTCTTGTGAGCTTGAAGTGATTCCTTTCGAGCATTTACAATTAAACCCTGCACATAATCACTCAATTATATAGACTATTTACGCAGAGGAAGCAATCGTAAACTTTGTGAAATGTGAAATTTAAGACAGATACTAGCCTAGGAAATGGTATATTTTCCTACCTTTGAGTCAACGGGCCAAATATTTTTACGCGCTTCCTCCACAACGACGTTTTTCTACAGATAACAAACACAATTTATCAAGTGAAACATACTAAACGAGAATACGACTTTGACAACCAAAATCTTTTTACCTTTTTTGAAATCACAAGTGCTATGAGTTCTGTTATACCAGTTCTAGTCTGTGATCACTAAGAGATCGACATGAAGAACAATTTAATGACTTTAAGATCATTTAAATATCTTTTAATGTAAATAATTCATCCATATCTGCTATCGACATGAGTAGAGGCAAAAATATTATATGGTTTCAGATGCATAATATCTCCTCTGAATGTAAATTGTGTCATGAGTGAGTGACATAATCATTAGAGAGTTGGGATGTCATCCAATTATCGTATTCTTTCCCTAAGTTATCCATTGCCACCACTTGTATCCTTTTTACATGTTGTTAGACGTAGCTCGTCTACCGAAACAATTGAAAACTTGATATTCTAAAGAAAGTTCTAGTCTTTCTTCTCTAGCACCGAAGAACAAGAACGTATGATCAGCTAAGGACCCTCCGAGCAGCTTAAGTGATGCAACAAGCCCCACAAGTAGCACAACAGTTGTCCCCTGCAGCATTAATAGGATCAGAAACCCGAACAAAAGCAAATGTCCGGTGATATAAGCCAAAAAAATGCAACATACCTGTATATCATCATTGAATACCAAATGTGTGGTACCATATTTCGCCAACAGCTCAAAAGCATTGTGATTCGCAAAATCTTCATAATGTAGATAACGTTACAAATATCAGACGTTACTTGAAAGTCGATATGGTCCTTAACATGTTTCAAATTACTAACCTATACAAGAATTTTCACCATAATTTTGCTTCACAGCCTTCGTGAATTCATCAAGAAAGTCGTAGTATTCCTACAAGAAGCAAAAACAAACAGACATGTCTTGAGAACATGCTGCAAATCTCAATTTATATTTAGAACAAGTACGATATAGAGTTATGCTATTATAAAATTGACCTCGCCAGTAGCTCTTTTTTTCTGAGTCCAATGTAGAACTCATCTTTCAATAGTTGCTCATTATTTGATCCCACATCAATCGTTATAGGCAAACACCACACATTTGAGAAAAACGATAGGATGTTCATAGTTACAAAATTATAGTATAGTATATAAGTTTTAACGAGTATTGGTACCGCTGAAGGTTTGAATCCTCTGAGTGCAGTATACAGAGCCATTTTCCCTACTGGTATACCTATTCCCTGTGACAATATGATGTGATTCATAACAGGATTACTCATTTGACGCATTACAAAGTCAAACAAGAAAAGAAAATTTGCTTTTTGGGCCAAAGAATCTAACTAGAGGATTCAAAAAATGCAAGTACTTAACACAAATTTTAAGCAATTTGTACATTATCATACAAACTTCTCAATCAAGTATAGAGTACAAAGATAGAATATGCATTTGCAACTACAATATCTCAATTAAAACACAAACTATTAATTGAACACACTTCAAATCAACAATAAAATCAGTAAATAACAACACTCA